CCCCCMMSCYAGCATGTACTGATTTTTAAAATATGTTTGTGGATTTCATCTTGTGAAAGACGAGTGTTGTATTTTTTCTTTGTCTGTTCGCATTTGGTTATAATCTCTGTTTGGACATATAATTTAATACTATAATAGTTTAATTGAATTCGGGTCCGTCTAAGCGAGCTCCCTCCATTTCATAGGTGCACCTCCTCAACCAAATGGCCCACATGACTGCTCTTCTCCCCATGGTGAAAAGGTTTTGTGTAAAGTCGTCATATTGCTCAACAATCCATGATTCCAAAAGAATTGCTTTCATGCCCCACCATGGCCATCGAATCTGTGGGCCTAGCTGATTCCAAACTCTATCCCACCACCTCCATAACCGTACAGCTCCAGGGTATTGCGGGAAGATATGCTCGATAGTTTCAGGAATCAGCCTACTAGGGAAGGCAGATTTACAAAATTTACACCACCTAGAGGCAATTCCTTTATGTTAAGAAAGATCTATCTATCAGCCAGTCATTAGTGGGAAAGGCCTCGGTGTTCAATCTGTCATTGGAGAGATGCCATCTTCGCCGGTTTGGATTTCATCAAGTTAAACCACTTGATTGATTTTACATCTTCTCGGCTAAGATTGAGATGTTTCATCCATCTGGCTGATATCTTGTCCTTTAGATTAATTCTCATTCTCACTCCTAACATTCTATAGGTAGATTTTACTGTAAGAGTATGTAGGACACTTTTATAATTCTTGTCAGGGCTGGTCGCCGGATGGACCGGGGACCGCTACCCCATCCGCGGTCCTTCCGGTTGGACCTGCCGGTGGCCCAGGCCGGTTCCCTCCCGGTTGCCCCCAGCGCATTTTCGCTGGGTGCTGAATTTGTTTTTTTGTCGGCGCTTATGTGTTCCCAAGGCCTCGTGGGGGCGGGCCCTGCCCCGCAATTTCGAAACCAAGTCGTGTAGGCCCGGATTTTGCAAGTACAGAAAGTGGCCAATCTTGGCCGCCGATCTGCGGCAAAGATCGCCCAGGACCCCATTTCTATAAGAAAAACGGGCAGACTAAATCGGCCGCTGATCTATGCAGATCAGCAGCGGAGAACAGCCATGCGTTTTTCCTAAGATGTGGGTCGGGTAGGCCCCTAATCCAATTTGTCATCTTGTG